GGGGGGGGGGGGGTAGTTGTTGAAAATACAGATTCCTTGGCCTTACCCTGGACTCACAAATCACAGCCTCCAGAGAGAGGCCCCCGAGTCTGGAATCTCACAAGACCACGTGCTCCTGGAGTTCCTGACTAAAGGCCGAGCTGAATGGCTTCTGCCCTCCTGCCCCCTCCGTGTGCCCTTCCGTGATTTGGTGCTCCTGTGAGTCCTACGTCTGTGTGTCCCTGAGTGGCCTTGGATGAGGCCCAAAAGCTCTCTGATCCCTGTCTCATCTCAAAATGAAGGTTTACAGTTCCGCGTTTTGTGAAAACAAAAACAAACCCCACGCCTATCATTTAATGAGTTGTAACCATATACCAGGCATGTACCTGACGTGATCTCACGGGATAGTTAACAACTCTGCAAGGAGCAGATGTCAGTGATCCCACTATAGACGTAAGGAAGCCAAGACTCAGAGAAAATAAGCCAGGTGTCCAAGATCACACAGGAGCAGGAATTTGAACTCGGGACTTTTCTCTATGCCCCACAATGTTTCCTCATGATTTTCAAAGGCCCTTCCAGGCCTGAGAGCTGAGATTTGACAGCAATCTCTCAATGCTAGTTTAACACATCCTCACTCTCCTGGGTGTAGGAGGGAAACTTTCACAGGGACCCTCTGAGATCAAAGGTCACACTGGAATTTTGTCACCTGGTCTAACTTGTCTGCTGGATTGGGGCCAAGGGAGGTACCAAGCCTTTCCCAACACTGGGACTTGGCCCTCAACTTCAGACCAGGCGGGAATCAGCCACAGCCCTGTCCTGGCAGAGCTCACAGGCTGGGGCTACCCCTGACCAAGACTCAGGGGCTCCTGGAAGGTTGCCTGGAGGAAGTGGGCTTGCACCTTGATGGAGCAGTAGCGATCAGCTGGGGGAGGAAGGAAGAGAAGACAGCTCCAGGCGGCCAGAAAGGCAGGAGCACAGGCCTAGGGTGTGGAGGGCCTGGGGGGGCGGCCGCAGGGGGCCTGGGGACGCCATGGGGGGCAGGCCATTCTTTCTCGAGAGCCCTGGAGGAGACAGTGCACGTTTTAGCAGGGGGTGGGGCTGGGCTGGCAGAGCAGGTGACAGGGATCTGGGAGAAGAGTCAGGCAGTGGTGGGGTGGCAGGGAGTGAGGGGGAGTGTGGCTGGCGCCAGTCCTTCCCAGGAGGTCCCAACCCCTGAGGCTCTGTGTCTGTAGCACCTAATGAGGTCGGCCCTGCCTCGCAGGGACCAGCAGGGCCTGAGTTCCCTTTAGTGGGGTGGCCTGC